GCAACAGTGCTAACCACCATGCCACCGTGCTGCCTCTACAGGTTGGGCAATTATGAACAAATCAAGGATCACATGTGGGAAATTAGAAATTCTTTATTTTGCTGAGGAACATTTAGCTGTGACAGATCTCCTGTCTCCATAAACTTGCATCTATGATCTGATGACTATTACTTATGAGTGGCAGAAGCAAAGAACAATGTGCCACGCTCCTCTGTTATATGTTCACATTTGCAGTGTGAAGGTGGCAGGTAATGGCAGGTATACAAGGGGGAGCCCATTTTTCTAAACTTAAAAGTATATTGGTTTGCTTTTATAACTTGCGCAACAACTTTCAGGTCATGTCACTGCGTATGTTTACAATGATGGACTGTAGGAAAGGGGGAGGGGAAGGATCCAGGCCATGCACAGTATAAAAACTGGACATACAGCTACTGTCACAATGATTGATTGATTTCTAAAGTGCAGTTTTGAAACTTCATGATTGGCGTTTTCATTGTCACCATCTTGAGCTAAAAAAAAAATAAATAAAAAATTTAAGCAGGTGCGACAAACACAGGCAGGTGTGATTGCTCTCTCCCTAACAACTTGTCAATCACAAGTCATCAACAAATTGACATGCCATTCTGAAACATAGTATAACCAAGATTTACAAAATAGACTTCACTGTTCTTCATGAAATAAGTGACTGAGCCCATAAACTCCGGAAAGGGTTAACACAGGGGAATGCAGGAACACTTTCAGTAACCACAGCTATCCCCATCTGGTGGCCTTCAGATTGCATGCAGGGCTAAAGCATTTGACACTGTGTTTTCCTCACATGGAATCTACATTTCTGGTTTTCTAACCCCTCTTACTCTTGAGAACCTCCACTGATGGTTGCATTGATATAACAACAAAATTGCATCACAAGCGTGCGGTTTCTCTTAATTTTTTTTATCATCTGAAATTTCAAATGGAAACATCTGCAAAAGGCATTTCTCCTATGACATCCACAAGTGCACTGCCTATTTCAAAGTCATAGTGAAACAATAAACACAAGTTAGCGGATTATATTAACGCAATCATATAATATACACTAAAATAAATATGTACGGCACAGTAGCTCAACGCCTGAAAATACACTGGCCAGCAGTATCACTACACTAGTGTGCTTTTTTAAAATTACGTATAGTTATTTGTTATACCTACAGTTAGTTCCGTATTTAGTGTTTACTCAAATAAAACTCCTTTGGTGACCATTAGGTTACTCACAGGTAACGTACATTGAACATGACACGCGAAAGACACAAACATCGCTATCACAGAAGGATAATAAAATGAACATAATACTTAAGAAAATCAATAGTTAGGATTTATAATAACATTATTATGTAACATATACGAATAAATATAAATATGTCTATATGTGGCATGTATATGTACTGCCTCATGGAGTGTAATGTTTTTTGATTGAACTAAATGTTGTACATTGGTTAACATAAAGGCCACTGTGAAAGGAAAATAGAGAGAAGACATTAGTCTGACTTAGTCTGAGATATACTCAGCTTCAGGCCTGACCTGTTCACCCATCTACGCAAAATGCATTTTTGGTGTTACTGCCAGGACCAGTCTTGTGGATAAAAACACTGTAGTGTTATAAGTGACACTGGGGTGTTAGAAATGGGTAAAGTTTGATACTAACCACTTGGTGTGCATAGTGTGAAAACAGGTGTGGACAGAATCCTATAGTCTGAGTTTTTAGACAGCAGAATGTGGCATCATGTGGTCAGGATGTGCACGGCTTCATTTGATGGTTTTATCACTGCAGGTGTTATCCCGTCATGGCTGGGGGGAAGTCTTCTGAGGATGGGTCCAGGTCTCTTCGAGGTGGGAGATGAACATTTCCAGCACCTGTTTGATGGACAGGCTCTCATCCATAAGTTTGACCTGAAGAACGGTCGGGTGACTTATTACCGGAAGTAAGAAAACGGATTAATCTACAAAAGCAGAGCACATTATTTTTATATTTCATATTTCAAGTTGCAGTATTCTGAGGAAATACCTTTTAAAAATGTACGTTTCTAGCTGTATTGACATCAGGACGTTAAGGCATTTTCTCTTTAATCCACAAAAAAAAAGAAGAAAATCTGGTTCTCATATTCCCAGCAGCTCCAAGCTCCAGTTGTGGGTTTTTATGACATCTGATTTTGGTTTGCAGTTCTTTGCAGCTGAGGAAAAGTGGGATGTTGCAAAGAAACAGGCAACGAATGAAGAAGGCTTTTTGTGTTTCAAAGATTGCCACAATAAAAAATTTTAAAGTAATATGAGTGGGATTCAAAAACAGCTGGCATACTAGTTGATGTTTGTGCTCAGGTTTATTAGGACAGATGCTTATGTTCGGGCCATGACAGAGAACAGAGTTGTCATCACTGAGTTTGGCACGGCAGCCTACCCAGACCCCTGCAAAAACATCTTCTCAAGGTAATCCCAAACCCATGCCCTAAAATGCACACAAAAGGAACATTACACTGTACAAAAGCTGTCTAATTAAAACAAATAGCTCAATAAATAAATAACTTAATATGCAATTCAATTGAAAAGCATTTTATTTATATGACTTAAATTGTTGTGCTTCCTTGATTGCATTTAAACATGCTTTTCTCATTTGATTTTCCATTTAATCAATTGTCAATGTACGGTTATTTCTTTATTATTATTTTATCGATGTATTGCAAAAAAACAAGATAAGAAGATAAAACCTTTCATTTGGTGCGAAGCTGAGGCCAGGAGACTGTACTGAACAGTTAGACTGGAAGCAACATTCCTGTGGTTAGGAAGTGCACGATGTTGAAAGCGTTCAATCCCTGGAGAAACCTGTTGGGGTTTTTTTTCAAGATCTATTTATAGATTTTTTTTTTTTTTTAATTCTTAGTGTTTGTCATTTATGTTCCACATATCCCCTTTCAGTGTTCTTAAATGAACTGTGCTCATTCCCAGTGCTATATTTTTATTCTTGAACTTCATATAGTAGTTTTCACGAGTCATAGTTATGAATAACTATCAATATTCTAATAAATATCCATGTTATATTATAATGAGCCTTGGTGCATCCTCTCAGCTCATACACTAAACAATCCATTTAGCTCCCTCCTTGTAACTCAACCTTCATCAGAAACAGGTAGTTTTACCAGTAGGTGGGTTGGGGTTCCTGAGATGACCATATTAAGGTATCCTCCCTCTTTGGTGCTTTACAAATCCCAGGAGTAAAACAGTGTCAAACTTGAGCTTTTGGTTCACATACACTGATCTTACCATGTTGTGCCTGTGTTGTTGTATTATTACTATACATTATATGGGTTTAGGGAAACGGTTGGTTTAATATAAAGTTTTCCTCGTGCTTGTAATTTCAGGTTCTTTACTTACTTCAGAGGCATTGAAGTGACAGATAACTGTTTAGTGAACGTCTACCCGATTGGTGAAGACTTCTACGCAGTCACTGAGACCAACTACATTACAAAAGTTGACCCTGATTCACTGGAGACATTAAAAAAGGTGGGAGCTGATTGGTTTAAATTTACAATAAGCTAGAGCCATTATTATTTTCTTGTAGCTTTATTAAAGCTTTACCCTCCCCAAATATGCCAGAAGGAAGAGTTCTAGTTGCTGCATTTTCAGTTGCTTTATTATTCTTTCCTTGCAGCATCTTTGACTGTTTCCGGTTGTGATTTTACATATTTAGCTTTCAACTTGAATGTCTTCCAATTTGCAATAGGTGGATCTTTGTAAGTACCTCTCAGTGAATGGGGTGACCGCCCACCCCCACATTGAACCAGATGGCACGGTCTACAACATTGGTAACTGCTTTGGCAAGAACATGAGTCTGGCTTATAACATTGTTAAGATCCCACCTGTTCCGAAAGGTGAGTTTATTATACACAATACTCTCAATGACTATCAATGGATATGTTTTAATTGATTATCATTTTATTATTTTATTATTATTATTATTATGTTTATTGATGTTTATTGACCTTTAAATTATATAGTAAATTTTTATCTTATAGAGATTTGGGTTTGAAAGGATCATGCCTGAATTTTCCAGATAAGCTTTTAAGCACTGTTTGTTACTGCGACGACAGACTGTCAAAAAAGAAGAAGAATATGATAGATAAAAAGGGAGCGAACAGGATAGAAGAAAACGGTGGATAACAAAAAAAAGAAGAAAAGAAAATGAGACAACGATTTAAAAAAAGAAAAAGGTTTAAAAGAAAAGTTGAAGCAAGCAGAATGCAGAGAATTAAAATAAAATTGTCAGGAACAATGTATATGTTTGTATCTCTGTGATTCCAGATAAATCAGACCCCATAGAGAAGTCCCAAGTGTTGGTCCAGCTGCCAAGCAGTGAGAGGCTTAAACCCTCCTATGTACACAGGTACAGAGTTATCTCATACATGTACACAAAGCCTGTTTTTTGTTTTTGTTCCTTTCTCTTTGTATTTGACGTTTTACCATTAAGATGAACTGTGCTTTGCCTCTGAGTGTCTTTCACTGTTTTGCTTATCTGTCTCCAGCTTCGGTATGACAGACAACTATTTTGTATTCGTGGAGCAGCCGGTGAAGATCAACCTGCTCAAGTTCTTGTCAGCTTGGAGCTTCAGAGGAGCCACATACATGGACTGCTTTGAGTCCAACGCCAGCATGGGGGTAGGCAGGGCACAGGCATTAAAGAAGGCCCGTGGAATCCTGGAATCCAGTCTGTTCTTAAATGCTGGAGTTACAAACACCTGCAATATCTGAATATAATTTATATTAGATCTTTTGGACTCTTTTGCATTAATTTCACGAAAAGCCACACAGCTGTGCTATTTACTAAAGTCCCCTGCTTGCTCCAAGTTTCTAAACCTTCTCCTGGGAAAAAGTTAATTGATTGGTCATGTGTGTCTGCTTGGTATCATCTGGTCAGTGAGTATGTGTGTTTGTGTGCTGCAGACATGGTTCCACTTGGCCAGTAAAGAGCCAGCGGGTTATCTGAGTAGTCACAAGTTCAGAACATCAGCATTCAACCTCTTTCACCATATTAACGCCTATGAAGACGAAGGATTCATCGTTGTCGATCTCTGCACGTGGAAAGGGTAAGTGTAAAGCTGTGTGTCTGTGCTAGTGTCTTACATCTTACATGCAATTATGTGACATCTCTCTCACTCTCTCTGTGTTTCTTTACAGTCATGAATTTGTGTATAACTACCTGTACCTGGCTAATTTGAAAGAGGAGTGGGAGGAGGTGAAGAAAGCAGCTGCACGAGCTCCACAGCCCGAGGTCAGACGATATGTCCTTCCACTGGATATTCACAGAGTGAGTCTACACACAGAGATAGTGCAAGTTATTAATGTCATCAGTTATATGTTCGATCATTAATAGTGATTATTTAGCACTGTAACAGGATCTACTGATTAGGCAGGCCACATTTCCTAAAATGCAGAAGAAAATTCTTTATAACAACACAGTATTAGGTATTGTAGCAGCTAGATAGTGTAGTGGTAAGACTACAAACCTTTAGAGTGGGAGTCGCAAGCTCAATTCCAGTAAGGGTCCTGGCTTTTCCTGCAAAAACCTGACTTGTTGCTTCCAAATTCCACATAAGTACAGGACACTTGCACCTTTGTCATGGGTCTTACAGTGTCATTGTTTCCTCCAAACGCTGGCCTGCAAATTGCATATAATTACAGGGTACTTACACCTAATACACAGGTCGTATTATAACGTGCTACCAGTTTTTTAATCTAATATGCCATAGGATTGATCAGAAACATTGTAGATGACAAATAGTGATTAATGGACTCATGGAATCGTTTCTTCATATCGGTTTTAATTGGTCAGCTCACGGCCTCTAAAGCAAATTTTTGCTACTACAGTATAAGTGGAAAAGGTGTTGTCACTGATATTTATGTGTACCTGTTTATCTGAATATAGGTCAAGTTAAATTAAATCTACTTATATTAGATACAATATTATATTATTATTATTATATTATATCATAGTATAATTGGGAATAACAATCATTAGCCTCTCTGTGTAACCTAAAATGTACTTAAAAATTTAATAATGTATTTAAATACCTTTTGTTTCACCTGCTGAACTCTTCATCAAAACTGTGAGAGCGGTATTAGACATTCATGAATCAGAAAATAATGAAATAACGGGATCTGTTTTTAAAGGCTAAAACTTGCTTTGGGGTAAATTTTATCTTTGTATTTTCAGCATTTTGTTCAGCATCTGGATTTACAACATTGGACTGACCAATTAGTTAGCTTGTTTGTCATATCAGGAAGTAATAAAAATAACCCAAATAAAAATCTAGTTGTTATATGACATACAAGATCTGAGATCTGAGAAAATTGTGCAGCATCACAAATAATTTTAATTTGTGACAACAAAATGTTCTGTCGTTCCATGTTTATTCAACCCTAAAAAAAAACTGCATGAAGCCAAAACATTTACTGTAACCTAGGAATGATATCTCTTTATCTTTAAGCTCCATTGTATTCTGTACACAACTTTGTGTGTGTTTTCAGGAGGATCAGGGGAAGAATCTGGTATCTCTGTCGTACACTACAGCGACCGCTGTTCTTCACAGCGACGGTACTATCTGGCTCGAACCTGAAGTGCTGTTTTCTGGACCAAGACAGGGTATCACATATACACTATAGTTTACATGTTCTCTGTATATTCCAATATGTGTATCCTGAAGGGTACATAATACACTGATTGTTATAACATATTAAATATGTGCTTATATTGATTTATTTTCTCTGTGTCACTCTCTCAGCTTTCGAGTTTCCACAGATCAACTATTCAAAGTGTTGTGGGAAGAAGTACTCCTTCGCCTACGGCCTGGGACTCAACCACTTCATTCCTGACAGGGTAAGAAGGGTTTTCATTGAACACATCAGGAGACGAGGACAGTTGCAGGGCCTGTGACGTTAGCTAACTCCACAAGACATTAAAAGCAACTGGTTGCTGCTTTAGATCGTCAAGCTGAATGTGCAGACCAAAGAGACCTGGGTGTGGCAGGAGGAGGACAGTTACCCATCAGAGCCACTGTTTGTGCCGTCACCCGGAGCTACAGAGGAGGATGATGGTAGGACACATTCTCACATCTTAGCCCACAGAATTACACACTAACACTAGTCTTCAGTGTGTTTGTGGCTTTCAGATCATATTGAATGAAGCATGAAATTCATTTATTAAATTATTGTCTTCTTTATTAGATGCTTATCATTTTTGTTGTTATTATATTAAGTAAAAAAACAAACAAGGATCATCTAGAATATGCTCAATGGGTAAAGTGACCGCCTCTTTTTTTTTATATACAGTCTATGATCCAAAGGCACATTATTTTCTATGTCCAGTAAGTGGAATACCTGTAAATGCTTTAAGTTTTTATGGAAAATTAGATGAGTAAGGATACATTTTAAGCTACACTGCAGTCATTCACACATTGGCAAGTGTTTGATATATAAGTCGACTTTGTGTAATGTATGTTTCAAACCAAAGTTTTTATTAGCGCTACATAAATCTCTGCCTAGCATAGATGACACAACCTAAATATGGGATGCAAACTTATCCTTTCTTTCATTTATTCAGCATCAAAAATACATATTTTATTATCTTTACACACCCAAACTCTAACTGTAGACACATTACGCTCATTTGAAACAACTTTTTTGCGTTTTTCCTTATGAACGTTTGCTGTAGAGCACACAAGCAGTTGCCTCCCGTGTCTGGGTTTTGCAGGTGTGTTGCTGAGCATTGTGGTAAAGCCAGGTGCGCAGAGACCAGGTTCCCTCCTGGTGCTGGATGCCAGAAACCTGACAGAGCTCGCCAGGGCAGAGGTCAACACTATCATCCCCATCACCCTGCATGGGACTTACAAGCCATGAAGCTGCGTTTCTTCCAAACAGGTGCTTCATGAAATACACCAGTC